ATCTTACGGCCTGCAGACAGACTGTCGCCTAAACCCAATTGACAGACAACCTATTTCACCCTTGCAAAAATCATACCCATCTTCATTCTTGCAGCCCGTGAGGGATAAATAAAAGCTCCCATGCCCATGGAACACTGAAGACTAGGCATAAGCATCATTTCAGCTAGCTTCTTACTATTCTATCACAGCAATTGCTTGATGGAAGCAGCTAAGCTTTCTTTTTCCTCAGTTACCAACAGCAAGTCCACACATTTTGCCTAGGCTGGCTTATGAAAGCACACTGCAGTAGTCTTTCAGGATTTGAAAAAGATTCATATGACAGGTGGATACGGTTGCCTCCTCTTCAAATATTCTGTTTATTATCAGAGATGTTTTCTGATTTCACATGTAGACATCAAGAAGCTCTGCCTGCTCATAATGATAACAGAGATCACTTAAGATGTTTTTCCCTTCAAAAACATGTTTTCATTTTAAAAAAATTAACATATGGTCAATTTAAAGAACTACTGCAACCCTTCAATAAAATTCTGAGGACCATGAAATGCTTCATTTCCAGAACCAGAGATTCCAATGGGAAAACCTGCCTGCACGGGTGGATAAGCTGCAACTTATGCCAGCTTCAGTACTGGAGAGACAACTCTTGCAGCTTGTATCTTTTAGGTCTTAGACACACAGTATCATAATTTGAGATTGGGAAAGCAAGTGAAGATAAGCAGACCTTTTTAAACTCTTACAAAATACTTAATTCTGGCTTTGGTACATGTTGGTACAGACACTCTTCAGGTGCATTCTGTTCACTTTTTAAATTTAAAATCTCACACTTTTTCTCTCATCTCTGAACTAATTAGCTATTAAAATATAGCTACCATTTCAAAATAATGTCTATTTCCTTATTTGAAGGAGGGAAAATGTTCAGCTTTAATCTCCAGAGTGGAAAAGGTCACCTTTGTAGACTGATGACTATCATATCCCCAAGTAATGAGAACAAGTGTGCTTTTCCTCAATGCAACAACCGTAGTTACTCTTATATTGCAACTATTTTCCTGCCTTACCTTTCTTTATGGTAGAGGAAATGTAATTTACTTGTCAGATTGAAATGTTTGATATAAATCTTTAGCCTTTCTTTCAAACAAGTATTTCTGTAACATTATATTACAAACAACTGGCATGTTTAATTAAACAACTGCTTTATTTTCAGCAGCAGAAGAAGGTATGATTATATTAATTGAATAGTAGGACCTATGACCAAATTTAAAGAAAACATTTTCAGCTCAACAAGGAGGTATGATTATCTTAATTTCAAAGCAAGACATGTGACTAGAACTGAAACAAAATGTTTTTCTCTGTCTTTACAGTTATTAAAAATAGTTTCATTGAAAAACAAAGTGAATAAATGCAATTTTAAAAGTATTTTTCCATAAAAACTCTTCTTTCAAATCAAGAGCTGGCAAAAAAATTTAAATCAGTTAAAGTCCTAGAACAACTGATTTCTGTGATGAAGTGTGTTTTAAATGAACCAGGTTTAACATATTCACTAGTACTTCTGAATTAAAATACTATGTTTCTACAAATGCACAATAGCAAATCTGCTGTATATTTATAAGTTAAATCTTGTAGCTAGACACAGAAGCAATGCTTAAGCTCACGTGGCTTGTTCATATAAGAAGTCCATTTAGTATAAGTGATTTTACCAGCATGAGTAAGGAGCAAATTTTCACCTATCTTGAACAAAAAATATTGGTTTTGAAGTTTCAGTAATATCAACATTGCTGCTGGGTTTTATCCTGTTGTCTCAAAAATAGTTTCTGTTATTTCATACACAAATACAATGTAAAAATTAAGTTATGATGATTTCTTATAAAGAGAATAATAAGTTACAAAGTGTTAATAGGAAAAGGGATGAGACACAAAAAGTAATTTTTTTCAAATCATCCTTTATTTGTTTGAAACAGAGAAAAGCAAGACATACACCATTTAAATGCTTATGACCAAATGAAATTATCAGTGACAATTGAGAAGTTGTTAAAAGAAATTTATATATTGAATTACGATCCTAATTACCCAGATATGCTTTATTTAGGTAAATAGATTAAATATTTTTATATGCTTATTTAGGTAAATGGATGAAAGATTTTTGATCCAGATGTGACAAATTCCATGCTGTCATTTACCTTGAGGAGATCATAGAATTTTTGCTTTTATCACATTCCCCAGAGTGCTTTCATGTTTTCATTAAAAAACAGTAGTTGAGAAAACATGTCAGATGCTAAGCACAAAATCCACAATGCAGCAACATGGAAAAATTGTAACAACTTTTTGGAAAAAACGTCTTTATGTCAACCTACATACAATCTTAAATGGTTTGTCAATGAATGTTAATTAGCTTTAAATTTACACCATGACATGACTTCATGCACTAAAGAAAATACTTGCTTATTTGGCTGGTGCATGACCAAAGAACAAAAATTAACAGATACAGTTTTGACAAATAAGTATTTCTAAACTTGTATTGGTATTTGAGATGGATTATAATAACTGGAGATTAAGCCAAATGTTAAGTAATGTCCACTAGCAAGTTTTGATCATTAAAGATGTGATTTTTTTTCTGAACTACTGACTTAAAATGAAGCTTAATCTGAAGTGCAAAAACGTCACAGTCTGAGACTGGAGTATTTCTCTTCTTTTACAAAATCTTTGTATTTTATTCCTACTGTAGCTAATGAGACTCCTCAGGGATTTAGAGGATATTGTACCAGTTCTGTGTATCATTATCCAACATTTATATAAAAGTTTGTAGGATGCTCAATAAGAATATATCTAGTCACAATTAAGTTGAACAGGAACGTTGTTCAAGTAACCCAAAAACTTCAATAAGCATCAAGAGTATTATGTTCCTTTGTCAAACGTGGGCAGTAGATTAGCTACTTCTGATTTATTTACATTTATACAAGCAAGTGCAATATAAAAGGACAAGTCTTCTCACCCTCTCACACAGAAATTGCTGAGATGTACATGGAATTATTCATGAAGAAAATTAATGAAGTTTAGTACAAGATTTTGAATTGTTAATTTACTTGGGAGGAAAAATGTATATGGATTAACAAAAATGAGTTTTTCATTTTCCTGATAATAGATGATTTCCTTAGAGTCTTCCATGACATATCAAGTTCATCATTCTACAAAAGATATAAAGAAATCAAAAGCAACTATTCACATCTGCTAATGTCTGCTCTGAAGCTTTTTGAAGAAAAAGGCAAGCAGATTTTATTATTTTGTTTCTGTACAGATCTGAGGAGATACTCAGGATTAAACAGATAAATGAAAACAACTGGCTTGGAGGGAATTGAAAAGACAACAAAACTTACAGCCAGACTCTTCATGGTAGACTTGTGATATTTCACTGCAATGTATCTTTCTAGTTAGAAATTTCTTCCATTAAATCTGTAAAATGCCTGCTGATTCAAGCAATACTTTTAACTAATGACTCTACTTCTACTGCCATAATTTCCGTCCCTTTACTTCACCTCTCCTCTTTATTTCAACACAAATAACCCAATATATGTCATTCTAAATGTTAGTTTGCATCTCAGTGAATGTCATTTCCAAGAAATATGACAATTCTGTATGTGTTGCAACCTGTACTCTAAAATCCAATAACTTTGTTCTATGAAAATAGGTGTAGATAATGAAGATGGACATAATATCTGGTAATCTGCAGCATTCATAAATCTGACAACTCCACTTTTCAAGTTCCTGTGCTGATTCATCCTGTGTCTGAAGAGCAAGCAGGCAAATTGTTGTGTAAAAGTAAAATGCCTTCTTAACCCTCCTGAATACTGAATGGCTGTGGACTTGGATCTTTGGAATAACATTATAACTTCAGCTTTTATCTTGGACTTAATGATCATTCTTCTGCTTGGGTTCTAATGTTTTATGCTATCCTTTAGAAATATTGATGCCTAAAACAAAATCTCATCATTCTGAAATTTTAAAAATTGCATATAAGGAATGTTTCTTTAATTCAAGATTCTATTCATATTAGTAGAGCATGCTCTCCTAAAAGTAGAGATTCTCTTTGGTTTCTAAATGTGAAGAGGGTAAGATTCTTTCTACTGGAATATATAAGGATTCCTTGTTATAGGCTAGTATTTCCATTTACTTAACAGACTTCCATTGCCAAAAAAATGGCTTATTTTAGAAAGGCAGGATTTCCAAATAATTTATTTCTCCTGAATTAGCCATTTTCTGTGTCCCACATTTACAGATAAGCAAATGGAAAACTAACTGTAAACATGTTGCACTGATTTCTGACTATAATGATGTCCATAGCAATCCTGTGGCAAATAAACAATCCTACTGGCCATAATAAAATCTAGTCCAAGCTAGATTCTGAGCTCTGACAAACAATTACCAAAGCAGGACTAGAAGAAAAATATGCACTATTTTTCTGAAACAGAGTACTAACATTAGGCTTAGCTATAGCAAAACCAAAAAACCATAATAGATAGCTAATGAAGGGAAAGCATCGATGTGAACTGTGAAGGAATTCTATGTCTAGCAAACTTCAATAACAGCATTTAGATCTAGACACTGAGGTGACCATAACAGGGTGCACTGGAAACATCCCCACCTCCCTGTGAGGTCCAAACCTATCTTACAGCAAGGTACTTGGGTAGAGAGTTGTTGGCATAACTCAGGTCTACACAAATTATTTGGTCTGAAGAATCTTTGGAAAAAATAACACATAAATATTAGTTCAAATTTGAATATGAATATCAGTTTGACTAGAATTATAACCGGTTATACTTTATTTGACTTTTTTTCTCATCTAAATATATCCTTCCACGAAGCCAAAATGTTCCATAAAAATGTGTCAGATTTAATGATGTTTACAATAGGAATGTTCTAAATATCCTGGCTTGTCAATTTAGTAATTTCCTAATGAGAGAGTGAAACAAAGGGTTGGAAAGAGAAATACACACAAACAAACAAAAAAAATATTTGGTTCCAAAACAGATGTATGCAATTTTATTACATAAAAGTGTTCCAAAGAGTTTTATTTTCAGTGTGAAACAAAAAGACATCTCAAACCATACATATTTTTACAGATTGGGAAATAACACATTGCCTTTAGGTTTACTCAAGGTATGACATTTTCTGTTTGCTTCCTGAAAACAATACAATTGTTCTGTAATAAGAAATACTTACAAAAATATTTTTCAGCTTGAATTCATTCATAGTTCTAAAAGCAAGTTTCGGTTGACTGTAACTTTTATATCTACAATTTTTTCATATATTGTGTTGACCTACATAAATCAGCTCTTCAGTGAAAAGAAGCAGTAATTACAAACATAGCAAACCAGTACCATATTTACAGATGACACTCCAGATTATATTCATTTGCTTTGTGAATAATGTCAGTTATTCTGAATGTATTTGTATGACATATCAGTTGTATTGCCTGCAAACATATTTTAATTTCAGAGTAAAATATAAATTCTGAATTTTCTATAAGAAGATGGGACTGAAAAGATCCATATGGCTGCCCTATAGCCACAGTTAGTCATTAAATAGATGCAACAGTTATACAAAATTGCCTTGGTCAACCCAAGATTCCTGAAATTCAGGAAATTGTGCTTGCTCTTCCTACCTCCAAGGAATCAAGTGTGAATGGATGTATACTCTGTGTCCATAGTTCTTTAAAAAACAAAGAAACAAATAAGCACTTTCTCAATCATGGTATTAACTTAATTTGGGATTTAGTTAAAAGCTAGAATTAAGGTGTATCAGAGTATGAGAAAAAATGTCACAGGTTCTTGAAATTATAATTGCAATATATTGAATAAAACTGCCAGATAATCCATAGAACATGGTAATATTATTCATTACAAAAGAAGATGAAAATAACCTCTCAGTAGTTCTTCTAATCAGATCTGGGGAAAATAATCTTCCTAGTTAAAATTTGGCAACTGGTTTTACCTCAAAACCATGACCATGACATATTAACTTTGGAAAATTAACCAGTACTCTGCTCAGATTTTCAGGTGAGGCAAGCTGGCATAATGTAGACCTATCTATCCTGAAAATAGGAGCACAAATTCACATAGGCTACTTAATGAATTAATAAAATGTAGATTACAAATTGTCAAAACTCACAACAAACGGGAGGGTCTCTAGATTGATGATTACTCACTGAAGTGATTTACAAATAGTTTTAATGTGTAACAGTAGTAAAGAATTTTGTAGCCTGTTTGCAAACAATTGGAGAACAGAAAAAAAAAATTTTGACCAATTATTCATTCTGTGTCAATCAGTTCACTTTAGCTGTCACTATACTGGAGACACTTTATATAAGCTTTTCAAGCTGCACTGATATAAGGCATGCACAGGGCAAAAGAATAATGGAAGGTCTTTTGTTTTATGCATAATTTCTTTTTTTTTTCCCTCTCACAATCATGTAGAAATCCTTTGGGTCACCCACTTTGTTTACAAGGTGATACATGTCTCACCTATAAAATATCTGTTAAGCACAGTATCTGTTAAATTTTAGCCAAAAATCACTTCCTTTCAAAGTGGTCATTGATCCACTGTTAAAATAGCTTATAAAAACAACAATTTGTGAAAGGACCTATAAGATTTTATTGCTGTTCTGTCACATACTTTAGAGTTATTTTCCTGAAAAAAACCCTCAATATTTTCAGATAATTTTTTATCTAATTACAAATGGCTATGAAATCTAGGAATAAAACAGTATTGGTATTTTTTGTCTTTCTACAGAAAGGAAAGATAATATCCAGGACTGGCTTTTAAAACTATTAATGAGCACTGGCAATGCGAGAAAGAGATGGATTAGGTAGATGTAATGAGATATGATTAAAGGGTGTAGGCACTGAAGGGTGTTGGAGAAATTCTTTTCAGAGGGAGTATAATTAGTGTCTGATAAAAGTACTTAGTAGATAAGATTTTTGAAGAAGAAAGGTTAAGATAAACACATACCATATGACAAACCTGTTTAATTTTTTTCCTTTCTTGCATAGTCAATAAACTCCTGAAGTTTTATACATAAATAACATTTGTTGAATACCTGATGAAACCCCACAAAACAACTAAAAGGGTTTTAATTGCAAAAGACAGAAAGCAAAGAAAATTTCCTATTACATTTCCTTTTTGCTTTTCTCTTTTTATTTATGCAACTTACATAATAACATGCAACCTTTTCCTGAAATTAAGCAAATAAATGGACTTCTTAAAAAGCAAGATTCTATAAGTTGCTTAGCAACTTTCAAATCACTTTTTATTAAATTGGAAGCTTCTTGTCTTAGTTTAGTGCCTAAAAATTGCAGCAGCCTAAAGCAGACCATCCCAGCTACCTTTATACAAGTCCTGGACAAATGCTTCTCTGTCCATTTAGCCAGTAGTATTGTGCACACTTGAAAATAACTCTTAGAATGAGATGCCAGGCCTTTGGTTTTCTACTTTTAGGCGTGAATATTTAACCTACAACTGGAGTTTGGATTTGGAGTGACAAATCTCAGTACAGTTAGAGCACTCATAGATTAATTGCAGATAAATATATTAGATACTTACAGATCCAAAAGAGAAGTTCACCAAGTGAAACATGAAAACCTAAAATAAAAACAAATGCCCTGCACATCTGGAGATTCCTCAGTAAAGGAGAGCTACCATGTCATGGTCTCTGGTCCTTATTTACAAGACAAGCAATGGTGAATTCCCCTTTGTTGCCTTGTTTTTAGGACACACTATCTTTTCTACAGTGATTAATTTCAACAGAAAAGTGTATAGTACTTTACAGACTAATAGAATAGTTTGGGTTTGAAGAGGTCCTAATCTCATTCAGTCTGAAGCCATTTCCCCTTGTCCTGTCACTATATGCTTGTGTAAAAACTCCCCCTTCAGTTTTCTTGTAGGCTCCCTTCAAGTACTGGAAGGCTGCAACTCTGTCACCCTGAACCCTTCTCTTTTCCAGGCTGAATAAAACAAATTCTCTCAGCCTTTCCTCATAGGAGAGGTGCTCCATCCTTCTAATCATCTTGCTGGTGTTTCTGTGAACCTGCTCCTGAAGGCTCATGTCTTTCCTGGACTGGAGACCCCAGAGATGGAAGTAGTACTCAAGGTGAGGTCTCACCAAAGCAGGGTAGAGGGTCAGTATCACCTCCCTCAACCTTCTCATTCTGCTTTAGAAGATTTGAAATGGTTGGCTTTCTAGGCTGCAACCTTCTGCAGCATTCTGGATGTAAAGTATTTCAATTGTCCTTTCCTAATTATGCCTTCATGAAGAAAAGCATTGGTTAAACTCAACATTGGAAACTCTAGCCTGACACAGGCTTTTGAAATAGCTCTGAAAGCTAATTCAGGCCCATGTTCCAAGAGAATTGGCCTCGACATGGCTGCTTCTTCACACTCAGTCCCGGAGCAGAGGAACTTAACTTTGCAAGAGCAGTCAGAAAAGCAAAACTGCAAACCTGAGATCAGGCTGGGCATGGAGCCTACATGCTGATAGCACTGCTTTTACTTCAGTGCAGAGGAGTAAATCAGGATCTTCCTCATCCTCAAAAAGTGTATCTCTTAAAGGACTGCCACACATCAGGAGCAGATTTTCTTCCTCTTTCTGCATACAGGAGTGTCATATATTCTTTCATCAGACTTCCTGTTCCACACTGCATATGCAGAAATCATGTCTCTACATGGCATGGAGGGTGGTCCCACTTATGGAAAAATACACAGTTATGCAGAACATTCTCTAAATCATTGGCCAGGTTATTTAAGTGTTCTTCTTAATCAGTACATAAACCAGTTCCCACCAGGCACATAATCTACCCAGAGAATATCTGAAACTCCTATAGGGTGCTGAGTTCAAGTATCTTGCAACAACTGCCCCAGAACACTTACTGTTATCAATGAGCAAGTAACCAAAACAAATAATAGAATTTGAGAAAAGTTCCCATCCCTAATAAATAAAATCCAAATACATACATCCAGACTGGAGGATTATTTTCATGAAGATTGGTATGAGCAAAGGGAGCAGTGCTTTTAATGATATTTCAATACTAGATCAACAAAAGAAAGAGAACAGATCTTTTTGTCTCATGGCTTCAGTAATTTTTGCAGTTCCTACCAGTTCATTATTAACTAATTCATTAATTGTGAGATTTTTAGCTCCTCCAAACTTCAAGCAGGTTTTCAATAGTAGTGAACGAATTCTAGATGCCAGAAGGAAGTTTCAAAGTCACTCCTGATCAATAGACCTAAAGGAAGATTGAAAAACTCCTTTTCTTGGCAGTACTCTGTTATTTCTGAAGTGTAATGATAACACTGTAAATCAACATTGTTCAACGTCGTCAACATTGGTTTTGATGCTTCTTTTTTGGCTTCAGCTCCATCAAAAAATCTGAAATATTTGATTTTTTAACTGAACATACCAAGGTAGTATATAACTTGGCTTATGTTTTTGTGAAAGTATCAATTCTAAAAATTTACAGAAGAAAGATCTACAGAAGAAGTTAATCTATTTCCTTTCAATGAAAGGACATTGCTCAGATTGCATTAATCTCGGGGGAGGGGGGGTTGCAGACTTGGCATTGAATTATTAGATCCATGGGGCTTCCAACATTTACGTAAATAATCTCAAAAATATTTTCCACCTGTTTCCATCAATTAGGAACATTTCAAGTACATTTAAACCTTTTTTTTTTTTTTTTTGCAACTTTTCATTTTTTGCCTCTTTCTTCCTTTGATACTTCAGGGTCACCAGGCAAGGAGGCCAAGATTCGATGGACTCCGGCAGAACAGGAGTGTAAATGGAAGTGTCAGTAATTCTATTGTGTTGTAGGAAGAGAGAGATAGAGGTGGTCCTTCTGAGTGAATAAGCAGCTAGGTCTCACACATGCTTACTTGTACACACCTGCTTACACAAGTCCTGATGCCCAAGTTTCCCCCTGTAAACCAACAGCACTATTTCATAGTTTCAATGGGGATCATGGTGGAATTTTACAGAGAAAGTCTGGAGCACCTTAGGATGTACATGGAAACAAGGCAGAGAGCACTTTTCTGCTTTGCTTGTAGGGGAGCATGTCAAAAAACTCTTAAGAGACATTAACAAAGGTTGGTTCATGTGTTGCAAAACAGACTGATCAGACACCCAGAGACCTCCACTACTTTCTCTTGTCACCCTTCTGGGTACTGCAAGCTGTGGTCTGTGCCATTTTTGAGGTAAGAACCATGTAGGCTGGAAATCAGTAGTGCCATTCTGGTCTGCAAAACACTTCTGCTTGCTTTCTTTCACTGCTGTTAGGCTTTCTTTCTTCTTCCTTCTATCTTTTTTTCCCTTGATAAAGTCTTAATGTTGCTGTTGCTGATGCTGCTGTTCTGCTTGAATCAGGAACCAAAAACATGTGACTTTACTAGCTCTCCCCTTTTTTGGCAGTTTCTGCACCACTTAGAGTGATGGCACAGAGTCCAAAGTCACAACTCTGGGCTTTCCATAGATGAATCTTGAAGATGCAATGTAAACACACCACGAAGAGAAAAAAAAAAAAAGGATTTCGCCTGTAGTTACACTGAACTTTTCACTGAGTTCATTTGAGCTGACAGGAACAGGATGCTATGTTTGAGTGACAGCATTTACCCTAAATGGAAGTCAGTGTAGAGGAGAGGAGCAAGAGAAACATTATGAAAATCTTTACTAAAGATGAGAAAAGATATCCTGTTCGAAAAGAAGACTGTGTAATAAGCCCTGCTGGTCATAAATATTTTAGGTGTTCCTGCAGAAAACTGAAACCTATAATTGATTCAATTTTTTAACCACAAAAATTAGGACTGATATTTTCTGCTGCTTGTGTGTGTGTGTGGTTTGATGTTCCCTACAATTGTACTTCACTTTTTCATTATTTTCTTTAAATGTTAACATAAGGAGGCTCTGTTTTACTGCATTCTCACATGCTTTGGGATTTGTTTTGTGCTTGGTTTTTTCTTTGGGATTTAGGGGGTGGGTTTTGGGGTTTGGATTTTTTTCCAATTACAATCAAACGGGAACTACTTCTAGGTGAAGTAGGGTTATCCTCCTCCCATCTCCCCAAAATAAAATGTGGCTCTTCAGAGTATCACTCTCCTTTAAGTCTGTGCAATCTCTTGAAGATTAGGGACAAGTATGCAGGAAGAAAGTTGTCAGGGTTTAGATCAAAGTTGGGGATTGGTGAGAGACAGGGGAGTGGGGAGAAAAATAAATCACTAAGCTGATCTCAGAGACTGCAAGGCCTCCAGTGCCTTCTCTTTTAGGGTAATGTGTACCTTTTTCCCACTACTTGCAAGGAGTTGAAATAACTATTTGAAAAATAAGGAAAATTGTTATTCCCATAAGGCCTAAGAAATATGAGCTGAAGCTTTAGGAAAATATTGGTCCTTTTTCACCTCTCAGACGATCAGAAAATTCTTTGCATTTTCTGTTTCAGAATACCCTAAAAATAATAGAAAGTTCCTTTCAGAAATTGCCAGTAACACCCCATTCTTCCCGGGTTTTCAGAGCTCACGGTAGTGGCTGGATAGATGAGGCCATCACGAGCCAGAGACATCATCAGCGCAGAACACTCTGCTATTTATTTAGACTCGGAAAAAGAGCCTTCTTGCTTATTTTCCTAAAATAATTAAAATGCATCACTTAAGTTCCGATTTGCTAAAAAAAAAAAAAAAAAAAAAAAAAAAAAAAAAGGCGTGGGAGCATAAATGTTTTGGCTCTGAGCTGACAGTAAATATATCTTCACATCATGTTTTTATTTTACCGTTTCCAATGCATCTATCCTTCCTAGCCCTAGCCCCTTCCCCTCCCCCACTAATTTCTGAAGTGTCTGAAAGAGCCCTGGAGCTCACAGCATTCTCTCTCTCCCTCTTTACGGCGGGAGATCAGCTGTATTACCTTCCCCTTTCGCACGGCCGCTGACGGGATGGAGGAAAGGCTTCAGCCGGGTGCTGGGGCCGGGCCCGCGGTCGGTGCACGGAGCGCGGCCGAGGGGGCCCCGCTGAGCGGGGCGAGCCCGGGCGGGGCAGCGGCGCCCGGCCCCGCCGCCGGACCGAGCTCGGGGCCGCCCGAGGCAGCGGAGCCCGCCGAGCCCGGGATCGGGCTTACCCTGTCTGTGCGGCCGTCCGTACGGCTCGGGGCTCTGCTGCTGCTTTGTTGATGTGGTTTTTAACCCGCAAAACAGGTCGGGGGGGCGTTGCCCCGAATTCCTCCACTGCTGACTGGCTACCCCGGGAAAGGAGTTTCTTGGATTAAGCTACGGGGAAATATAAATACATGTTTATTTCAATCTTCATTCTCCTCGATAGCTGAGAAATGTCTGTTATTTACACGTTGCGCAGGGAAGCCAGCTCGATATTAATTTAAAGAGGGTAACTCCAGCACTGCTGGTGATGTTCATTTGCAATTCCTACACACTGGCTATTATGTGCAGGGAACTAATCCTGCCTTGCCTTGAAAACAGAGCTTTCACTTAGCTCACTGCGCTCCTCAGATTCCCTTTAAAAGAGACCGTTGTGTTGCTGGGATTTTATTATTTTTAATAACATTACATAGATATTTGAGTTTTCCCAATACGTGGTGGTGCTTTCTTTTTTCTTTTTTCTTTTATTTTCTTTTTTTTTTTTTTTTTTGGCTTTTGGCTTTTTCTATCATGAGCCTTTGGGGTCCTGTCGTGCCCTCGTCGCTTTTGTGAGACGGGAAAGTTGGGAGCACCCATGATTCGGTCCTCCTCCCTGTTACAGCTGTCGGCAGTGAACACCGACCCATAGGCGCTGCATAATGGCCAACCCTCTGCCACCCTGGATCGGTGTCCAGCTAGGGAGCACCGCCGAGGTTTAATTGCATCCATCTGCTGGCATTCACTGAAAGGGCGAGCGATATGGGCCATGCTACCCACCAGGGAATCCGTGCCTGGGAGAGCTGTGTCTCCTCGCAGGCAGACAGCAAGTCCGGCACAAATCAGGCAGGGCTGTCTCCGGCCGCTAAACTCAACGTCCTGAGATCCTGAACCCACTGATACGAAGTGAGCGCTTGCCTCTGCGACCCCCTGCAAGCCAAGGCTGGCCCCTCCGAGGAAAGAAAACCCGGAGGTCAGTGTAACAGACCCCGGCCCACCCAGCCACATTTTCCCAGAGCACCAGGAGCGCCCGAAGGTAGGGAGTGACCCAGAAGTCCCGAACCGGGCCAGATGTCCTTTGGACCGGGCCTGAGGGGCTGGAGCGTCTGATGGCCGCTAGCAGGACGCGTTTAAAGCGTTTATTGGCATTACGGCAATACAGTGCACGGTCAAAAACAATTCAAGAAGTTACAGGCTTGTCCACGGCAGCCCTTCCCGCCTAACCTAAGGAAGAAGCTCCAGTTCTGCACGAAATTACTCCAGGAATAAAACAATGTTTGTAATTTTAGTAGGATTTTAGTTTATGTAGTAAGACTTCACAACTGCTTTTCCCATCCTATCCCCTGCCCCGGGGCAGAACTTGCTCTCTACGATGAGTCGGAGATTGTTGAAGAGCCTGACTAAACCTCGTACACCTGCCTGGAAGACTTTGGGATAGATTATGTTATAAAGTACTGTCCCTCGGGTCGGTCAGGATCCACATTTCACAGCCGCATCTCGGAGCGCTCCGATGGCGCCTCTGCCTCCCGTCAGGGCTCTAGCCCATTTGACAAATGCAGCTTCTCCTTCTCCCAGGGAGACGATGAACTCGCGCTAACATTACAGCCACTGATTTCTCCGATCTCCCAGTCCTCACTGACCCCCTCTCCAGGATTCCCCTCCCCCACCTCACCTTCATCTCCCTCCCCCGCCACCCCGCCGCCCCCTCCCCACTTTTCTTTATGATTCTAGCGAACAAAACCCGGCATTTGATAACAGCACACTGTCCTGGGCTGCTTGTGCATCATGACTTCGCAGACCTCATTCATCACGGATCCTTCTCCCGGACAGTTCCCACTTTGGCTGTCAGGCTTTTCTCGTCACGTCACCTTCTTCCTCCACAGATACCTAATCAGGGAGAGAGCACATCCCAGGCACATCCAAGGCAGAAAAGTCCGCCCACCCCCACCTTCCCGTGCTCCCTGCGACCGCCCTTCAGGCCCCATGGCTTCGGTTTCCCAGGGCTCAAGAAATACAGGAATAGAGAAAAGGGCTCAGCTCTGCAGGACCTGGTGCTAACACGGTTTCCCCGGGTCCCAAACTAAGGGCACTGATTCAGTGACGGATTTCCCCAAGCATGACGCAACAGCACCAAAAAACTTTCTGACCGGACTGTTCACATCAATTCCTGCCAAAACACTTGTCTGGAGGTAGGTTAGGAAATGCTGAAGGTCTGGCTAGCAGAGAGTGCAAAAAGGTGACTTCAAGGAGAGTTTTCCAAGAGCTCCTAATAAAGTCCCACTAAATCACTATTTTTCTCAGAAAAAAGGCAATGGTATGAGGGCACCTATTTAACCCTTTTATTATTGTTTTTTAAAGCATGAAAGAAGGTACAATCTTTAAGAGTTTTCTCTTGACTTACGTGATGACTCACCACACGGTCAGTAGCTTTTCAACTATCGGCTACTATAAGATGTGCATGAAAGCGTTAAAAAAAAAGCCAAAACAAACAAAAAAACCCAAACAAAACCCAAAAAACAACAACAAAAAGAAACACCAAAGCAAAACCAACTAAACAAAAAGGAACTGCGGGCCCAAACTCCCGTGAGTCATCATGTTTAATAACCAACTAGGTTCAACTCTGCATCTCTATGTGCGTTTGTATTTTCATTGTCAAAGAATAAGCGTGTATGTTCTTCACATGTTAGATTTGCAATTTCGTGTTCATTCCGACATTCCCTAACGACCCATCCCACAGAGGTGTCTAAAAGCACCTACAGATTATCTCTCATCTCTCTACTACTCTAATATGACACACCTACTTACATTTTAGGGGTAAATAATTTGAGGCAGATTTACAGTTCAACCCTCTCAGCAGACAGGAGGAGAGGTCTGCGTGGAATATAAATTCAAGAATGTAATTCTTTCTCAAACAAATAATCTGTTCCCTTTCAAATATAATTAATGTTTTGATAGAGCATTTCTTGTGAGAGAGAGATACAAAAACAGAGGCAACCTCTTGGATCTCTGTTTGTATATTTTCAACAGGAATTTACAGTACCTATCTTGTGAATGTGACAGATAGAGTGTTTTGAACATTTAGAATTTTATTTATTAGCAGAACTCCAGCAAGAAACTGGTAGGTCCTTACTATCCACCATGCCCACTTAATGTACGGCTTTGTTGCAAAGGAAATTGCAGTGGCAGGAGGAGGGCATTAGTCTTTCAGGGGGATGAGAAATGTTCCCTGGTTCTCAGGGTGCAGACTTCTGTGCTGTTGTGCTCCGGAGGCGTATGTCCTTGTGCTTTGTCTTTCGTTCTCCTCTCTCTTTCCTCCGTGGGAATGAACCTATGTCCCTTTTCTTCTCATGTAAGGAGTTAAGGAAAACGGTAGGGACATTTTGGTTTTGAGTCTCCAGCGTTCACACTGGTCCGGGAAATGATGTGTTTCAAGTCATATAGTCTGAACAAAGCCATGTTTGAAATTGCCCAGAGCATTAATCAGATGCTTGTTAAATATGATTGTATGGTTTCTTAGTTATAGATCTGCTACCTAATTTAGCGGGGCCGAATTGTCTTTTTTCCCCTTCTTCCTCTCTCTCCCTCTCTTTACTTCTTTCTCTCTTTGCTTTCTATCGCTGGTTTCAGAGGAAGGTATGCAAAGACGATTCTGCCACACTTGGAAACACGAAATTCACTGATATCTGTTCTCAATGTCTACATAGTTTCTAAAGCACAAAACAAAACTGACTTTGTGAGGAGAAAAAAAAAAAAAAAAAAAAAACCAAAAAAAAACCAAAACCAACCAACAACCAATAAAAAATCAAAACAAAAAAAACCCACCCAAAAAAATCAAAACCAAAACAAAACCCAAACCCCAACCACAAACCAAACCCAAAAACTATCTTTTAACTCAAACTGCTATGAACGTTGGAAATGAGTTTGAGACCAATGCCATATGGACACTACTATCTAATTCATGAATGGCCAGATTCGACTTCCACAAGTATCAAAAGTAAATTTCACATTCATGCCACTGCATTGGGTCCCCAATATGTCTATAGCCTAATAATACAGCTTATCATATCGTTCATTTTTCAATGTCATATTATTTGTGAAAAATCGAGTATTAATCGAAAGAGCAGAGAAACTTTAAAAAGCGTTGGTTTCCAGCTGGGGTTGCCTTGCCTCACCTCACTTTGCTCAAGCCGGTACTTTCAAAGAAAGGGAGGACACATCTGAAAATGACTCTTCATAGAAAGTGCCAGACCTGCAGTCAGTCTGAAAGTCTTTAGCAACAATAAACATTAGGAATATGCGTCATTACTAACCTTGAAAAAATAATCACTGGGCTTAGAAGAGTGGTATTTGCTTTTACAAAATAGTGCAAGGAAGGCCCTCTAGTTGTACAGGAAACACACATGGCTATTCCAATGTCAGGCTTAAAAATAAAATTTAAAAAAAAATTAAAAAATAGAAAGAAAAACCAAAAAACACATCCATTTAAAAAATTTATAACCTCTAGATTGATTATTACAGACCCATAGAGTATTATCTCCTTACATATGGGCAGTATAACTTGGATTTTAAGTAAACAATGTTGTAATGCCCTTTTAATTTTATCGTATATGTTGTCTGGATTTACCTTTTCTAGAAAGTGCTAAAATGTCTTGTAAACACCTGAACACTATGACAGAGATAACCTTAGTTCAATACAAAGTTACCAACCTCAGTCATTGAGATCCAATTAATTCGATGTTTGCCTCCAGTGATCTGTGAAAAAAAAAAAAGCCATACGGAGAGGGAGGCGACGGACACACAAAAAAGGAAAATATTTACCGCATTGATCTGATAATATATAGGAAAATGTCAAATAGACACTTTTTAACTATCGTCTTTAAAAATAGCAAAAAGTAATAAAAATAGCTTCGGTACCTCTAATATGCAACTGGTCTTTTTTCGCCAAAGGCTAACATTAGGGACGATCGCACTTACGTTCAGAAAATATTGTTTTTTTTCTTAATGGGGAAAATTGGACTCCCGCGACTTAGATCTGTGGTTTTTAGAACTGGGATGGAAATTGGACTGACACCACTTTGCACTTTAACAATCGGATTTCGTCAGGGTACAAGTTGTTTGTTTAACCCGACAGCTCCGTGCACCCCGTCGCACGCTTTTACACACTCATTAAAACGATTATTCACGACCTGTCGAGTGTTTTCTCGTTCATTCACAGGAAAGACTTAGCGCCCTAAGATTCAAGAGCATACGGTCAGCTATACCACTGGCCGAGGGGAGAGATTACTTATCTCTGTGATCATCTGATGCGAGGCTGTCTTATCTCTACAGGTTGTAAAGCAGCAGTTCCTGGAGGTAAAAGAAAGAGGAAAAATCCTCCCCCCCGCCCGCGCCAGCGAAACTTGCCGAAAGCAAGAGACGAGGAACGCAAGTGAAGAAGGGCTCAGCACTCGCTCCGCTCCGCGCCGCGCGCGGGTCCTGTTCCCGGGCTCCCGCCGCGCCGCTCCCCGGGCAGGCGGCGGCCGGGGCGGCGGGGGCTGCGCCCCGCGGGGCAGCGCGGGGCTGCGGAGGCGGCCTTCCCCCCTGCACCCGGCTCTCACACCGGCCCCGCCTGCCGTCCCTGCTCCCGGGCTCGCTGCCCGCCGCCGAGGTGCCTGTGTCGGTACAGCCGAAGCGGCGCGGGGAAGGTGGTGATAAAGCAGAGCCCTACCCTGAACGGCTGCGAAAGAAAATGCAGGTGTCGGCTGGAAAAGCGTGTTTAAAAAATAGATCAAAATGTCAGCCTTCTGGGGTCCTGAGAGGGAATGGCTGGAAAATAGACCGTTTAGCAGAGAGGCTGGGGCGATTCCTTTTGGACCGATTAAATCATTAAGCCAAAAAAGCAACACAAAATACCGCCTGCTTTGAGCGCTCTGATATTTGGATTCCGACCCCTCTGTTTTGTTTGGTTTGGTTTGGTAGGCTTTTTTCTTTTAATATATCGATTTCTGATTTCGATATTCAGACTACCTTCCATCTATGAGGAAACCCCAGGGGCCACTCTGTTGCTGGGAAGGTGTTTTGCACTTACAAAGGAACCTAAGGGCCTGGAAGGCGAAGCACACATCAACCCCTGTTCAGCCTCTGCGGATCCAGAAACCCATTTTTTCATTTGGAAAATATCTAAACATAATGCCCCTTTATTTAAATGAACCGACCCCGAATGCAACAAGGGATTTTAATCTGAAACGGTTTCCTAATTGCTCGAAAGGCAAGCACGTATAAGTAATTTGTTAAACTTATTGGATTGCAATAATCCACTATCAGGTTAGCTAAGAATGGATCTGTCAAGTGTGTTTCCCAGTCTAAGCTCTTTCTTTCAAACCAATCTGGTATAATAATTAGCAGACAAAGAACCCGAAATATGTAAGCAAATACCTAAAGATCTGCATAAATAAACATACTAATCAATAGCAAGCTACTCAACACTTGTCTTATTGATGAAGAGACAATCGATTTTGCTGTTCCAACCCGCAATCAGAGATCTGTATTTAATTATTAGTACTTTTACCTCCACTGATTTAGTAATAAAAATAGAGGTAATAAGTCCTACCCTTCCATCTAAATACAAATGATAGTGATGACATAACTAAAGGCAAGTTACGCTTCCCAGCAAAACAAACAACTTTGCTCAAACAGAATAAACAAGCAAGCAAGAAAAGAGCTGCCTTTTCTTATGAATGCTAGCTGACACCTTCACAGTCAGAAAAGATCGGACAAATATATACATGCATATACACACACGTGTATACACGTGTATATGTATAGCTATAGAAATATAAATATAGAGGGAAAAGTTCATTGATGAAACAACAATGCCATTTTTATTTGCAGAATTCTCATCTGTTTTCTTATAAACCCATAAGAGTATGTGTATACTATATGCTAATAAAAATACACTTTGCATTTTGTACCACTGTGGCACAAAATCTAGACTGCATTTAGAGCCCTCTAGACTCACTCGCCATCAGAAGTCAGTTCAGAAATCTAAAAGGAGATTTACTTATCACCAACATGTTATGAAGTAACCTGTGAGCCACAGCATTAAATATATAAACGATTATGTGATATGCTCAACCATAGACCTCTCTAATTATCTGTCCTAGCTCTGTTTTGTTCGGGGTCTAGTGAAACTAGTGAAAACTCTAATTGATGCCATCATCCTCATTAGAAAATATATTGGTGTGTCGATGAAATTGTGTTTGGGCATGCAAGCACCATAGAAAGATATGAAACGCAACTTATAGTATAACATCGCCAAGATTTTTTACTCAAAAGAACAGTTTGGTAACGAGTGAATGTTACCCTTCCTTAATTTATAAAAGGATTGCATCCTTTTGGGATATACCACACTTCACAATGAGCAATGAGATTCTGCTTTTTTTTTTTTTTTTAATGATAATACTTTTACTCGTTCTCTCTCTCTCTCTCTTTTTTTCTTTTTTTCTTTTTTTTTCTTTTTTTCTTTTTTTTCTCCCCCGGTTGTGTTCTGAGGCTGAGAAAAGGTTCATCTTTTTTACTCTATAGCCAGGCTTAGGTCAGATTTTTTGGCAGGTATGTGTCTCTTCTTGGATATAACTAACTTAGTAGTCTAGCTAATATTAAATACCTGAGATAAGGAAATGTCTGAGTAAAAGCAGGCAAGGTGGGGGTGTGGGGTCGAGAGGCGACGGAGAGTGGCTCTCTTCCTTCCACTAGTGAACAGTGCAGGGCAAACACTTAGCCTGGAGGGCCTCCAAGTTAATGGGGATCTCGGCGAGGTCTCCCCCGCGGGCCGGCCGCTGCAAACCCGGCTCCTCCGCCACCGTCAAGGGAGAGCCGCCGGGAGCGCCCCGAAGGGAAAGAGCTCCTTTCACCTATTTCTGCTTTCCTGTAAAAGATGCCCCTGCGAAACCAATTGTAAAGAGCTCCGAATTCCCCACCGCGGGGGAAAAAAAAAAAAAAATCAACCCAAGAGAGCCCAGGATTCGTGCCGCCTTTGTAGTTCGAAATTCAGGCTCCCTGGTCAGGCGGCTCCGGGCGAGGAGAGGTTTCACCTCTCGGGCTTAGGTTAAGCAGTTCTTTGCAGCTAGCTTTACAGGGATGCTTTACTCACCTTAGGGTAGGGTGACAATGGCAGGCTTTTCTCAGACCCCCTTTCGTTTAGTCTTTCCTCTCAAATCACGGATAACCCCAAATACACTTGGAGGACTCCCTAGAGATAATTCTTTGAAATGGACTTTGCATTCATTTCCCCGACTGAGAGCAGCAAATCCGCTCGCTTTGAGTCTAATTCGCTAGCCTGATACTGTATTCTGTTACATGGTATTGAAGTGGGGGAGGAGGGGAGGTTGCTGGTAGTTGCTTTGGTTATTTGTTTATTTTGGCAGTTTAATTATTTTTTTTTAATTTTTGTTTTTCAAGTTTTCCCCGGTTTGTTTTGCTCCAGTGAAGCGAGAGGTGGGTTTAACAATCCAATTCCCGGATCGAAGCATCCCGGACTAGTTCTTGGGAAAGAAGTCTTTAAACGCCTTTCCCTAGGGCAACATCTGTCTCTTGGTAGCTAGAAGAAGGCAACGCCAAGTCTGCGTGGAGAAGGACACCTCAGATCTTTCCTCCTTTCCGAGGGGAGGGAGGCGGCACGGACTCAGTGCACACACCGCCTGCAAGCCGCCGTTTGAGCGCCGGGCGGGGTTGCCGGGCCGCGGGAGAGGCCCGGAGCGGCCGCCGCGGTTTGCGGGGCGCAGCGCGGCCGGTGCCGCGGCCCGGCGGGGCGGCTCTCCCGCGGGCCAAGAGCGCCCCCAGCCCGCCGGAGGCGCAGCGCCGCCGCCGCCGCCGCGCCGGGCCCCGCCGCGCCCCGCGGACACGCGTGTGCGGGCACGCCGTTTCGATCGCACCGCGAAGGCGCCGGGGGCTGGCGCCGCCGGTCCCTGCCGTCCCGGGGATACGCGAGTGCGGATGCCGCTCTCCGCAGCGCAGGGCGTGGGCGGCCCCACCGGTGCCCCGCGGCACCCACGGGGCCATCCCCGGACGGGTTTGCACCGCGCACGCAACGCGCCGGCGGAGATGTCACAAGTCACCGCCGGCGTGTGCTGTGCGTGTGCGAGCGCTCGTCTCCCTGCACCTGCGTCGCTTTCTGCGATGCGAGAAAGACAGGCGCTCAGTACCGCTGCCCCTGCGCTGAGGCGTCCCAAGCACAGCGTCGCAGAAAACTCAACTTGCTGTATATTAAAAAATTAATTATTTTTGTAAGGTCAAAAATGGCAGGAGCAAAGGGGTCAAAGTCATCCGCCGGGTGGGACACCGGTCGTGACTCTTCCCCTCCACCACATCAGGACAGCAAAAGAAGAACAAGTCGGTCCACGGAGGGCCCCATCCCGGGTCCTGCCCACGCAGCAGCGCGCCTGCCCCCACCCGCAAGGATGAGCGCAATGAGCGCATCACTTTTATCAGTCGTTTAAACTTCTGCCCCTATTCCGAGAATTCAGCATGTAAATCTGAACGTATACAAAACTCAGTCATGGAATTTGGAGAATGGGAAGACAAAGGGAGAGTGCCTGCAGCTCTCTCATGGACATGAACGTTGCCCGTGATCCCTTTTAAGGGCACATTTTCTCCACTGGAACACTCAAAGCAAAATCCAGCTCAGTACGGCTGTTTGCAAGGTCTCTTTCCTAGATCTCCCAAAATTTTCGGCATTTAGTCGCTTTCCTGGAAATTTAGGGATATTAGCACACTTTACACAACCCCAAAAGGTGCGATAAGCCTGTAGCTTTTCTCAAATGACAAGCTCAGAATTTTTAGAAATAATACATTACAGAGTCCGCCTATACTCGCCATGCTAAAAATCGTCTTTCATATAGCAGAGATGGATAAAGGACCAAATTTCCTCCCGACATGAGTGGTGGAGGGGACTTTTGCCTAGCCTCCGTAATATTTCTGTGCTGTGACCAAAAAGGCAGAGCATGCTCAGGGATCTGCGGGAATGGCGCTCTCTCCTTCTGGAACCAAAGGACAAAAATCGCGCGTGAAGTTACTTGATTCCTGGGTGTAAAAGATGAGTAAAATCCTCACTCACCCGCTGCCGTCGGACGACTCCTATCCCCAGGTGCCATCGTGCGCCTTTCTTGCAGGTAGAGGCATTTTCTCCTGGCATCTTAAAAAAGGCAAACACAACATTGCACCCGTGTGACTTTCTTTGGCATAGGTGGCAAACAAGCAAACAAAGAGCACGTTAACAAAACAAGTTAAAATATCTACAGATTAACCACAAGAACTGCTAAATCGGCGAAGAAACTTCCAACTTACCGATTAAAACGAAAGAGCCCGAGGGGGAGGGGGAAGGCCGGGGGAGGAAACACTTTGAGGAAGAGACCGAAAAGAAAAAAAAGAAGAGAGAGAGCGAAAATCCTGACATTAGGCACACACAGTTTTTGGTGTAACCGGTGCTTTGAAACTGTGCTTCGGTTGCACGGGCGACCTGCTTATCGGGGGCCACGGGGAAACTGTACGTTTAGACAGAAGTCTGTCATCTCTATTCATTCGTATCACATGGATCTGCCTGTGGGGATAAGAGGTAGGGAAGATTTTCTTGAAGTGCACCTACCCTTCTGGCGGGAAGGATTTCTGGGCAGGTTTCTTCTGGAGGGTCCCATCTCTCTGGAGTAGCTGAAGTGGAGTTGAGGGCAGGTTCTCCGGTGAGGTAGGAATGTGCAGGAACTCCGCCCTCTGGGCACAGTCACACAAACCCAGCACAACAGATACAGCCAGCCCTAAAACCTCTATTGATCTTCACCTTCACCTCTTCCTAACCCATTTGCCCGCCAGTTTTTGACCCATTTACCCGGGCACCTTCGCCACGGGGCGGAAAGGGGTTTGGGGGGGGGGGGAAGGTATTAAAAACAAGAACACTTCAGTGCACAGGAAAGCAGAGAAGCTACTACAGACACTAATGCAATGGATATACACCTCTACAGTCTGTGTGTGTCTATGTGTGTATACATATTTCTTGCCAATCGCTGATTTTGTAGTAGCGTAAGATGTATGCTCATATACTTTCTCGGGCTGGTGTATTATTCGCGATCACACAATTAAGAGCAATAGCGGTGATTATCTACAGGCAGACTTTTTTGTTTGTTTGTTTGTTTATCTCCCATCCTAAGGGAGAATATAACAATTAAAGAATAAAGTCGCTAATAAAAGGAGTCTTGCTCAGTGTTCTTTCTTAAGCAAAACTCTGATGTAGTTCAGTCAAAACGTAACCGGAGTTCAGTGGGAGTTTTGCTTGAGTGAATACTGAATACATGGTGATTGAGACCTCATATTAACACAAGTGGTGAGGGGGTGTGTACCTGAATCATAATTTCTGACATAAATCTTAATAATCATCAGAAGAAGTTATAAAGAGCAAAATGACGTCCCGGTTAAACTATTTTTTTCAAGTATCAGATTTTTAAAAATGTCACTCCCCCAAGCAGAAGTTTTGTGCTATTTAAGCCAAATTACATTTTTGTTCACTTTCTTTTAAACCCTTTCTTAAGGATACATTCCACATAAGGGATGATATTTTACTGTAACAAAAGGAAGATATCTAAAATATGACAAAAATTTGTTGGCCAAATATCGCGTTGAAAATTCGAGTTACTGTTTATTATGCTTCAAACATGTTTGCAAAGGCAGTCTTAAAGTCATAATTGGATGTTTCTTGATGAGCAGATTTCTTCTCCTACGATCTACGCGAGCAAAGTTAATCACCTCAAACATCAACTAAGAATATAACAATAGCTCCTTAATTCCATAAAGACCGCCCGTCCCCCATAAACACTCTAAATTAGGAAACGCTAAAGAAACGACGCTAAGACACTGCATCATCCTAGAAATGTACATGTTTAAAAAATCCTAAAAGCTTAGCTTGAGGATTTGACACATAAATCACCGCGGAAAAAAGTATCAGATAACAGAAATGCTGTATGCTAAACCACCCCCCCCAGAAATAACCCAATCAAATCACAAAAAACCCATCACCACCAAACACACACACACACACACACACACACACACACACACACACACACACACACACAACAATAAAGCAACAACAAAAAGAAAAACAAACAAGCCACCACCTCAAATTCAGTGCCGAACGAGCCTGGGCAATGATCAGCCACAGCGAACAAAAGGGTTTCTCTGTCTGAGGAGCAGGCAGAGGTAAAGAAATATCTAGGGCCTTAGAAGTCCTGACACAATCCAGGACAAGTTTAGCGATTTCCTGGTGTTGTTTTATTTTTGTTTTGGATTGTACTTATTTTTTTTTCCTTTACAAAAATAGTCTGATTCCTGGTAACCTGCATGGAAACCTGAATAAATTACCAGCTCAGCAATCACCCGTGCGCCTGGTGTAAGAGAAAGAGTGAAAAGTCTGTGGCGCCTGAACTCCTTAGGCAATACTTTGCAACACCGAGCCTAAAGGAGAGCTCTGGGAGCGAGTGCTGGCTTAAACTAAGTCTAGAGAGACATACATCAAGGTTACCCTTTTCAGGAATTATTGTGCATCATGCTTATCTAATTAATGCTTATTAGCCAACCTCAGACTCTGATATTGTGAGATTGTGCTTTCCTCCAACCTGATCTATCGCTTTCCTCCCTTCAGTACACTGACAGCAGATTTATTTTTTACATTGCAAACAAAATAAGATTTTACGTATGTGCTATTGGATTTCCTACAGCATACAATCAGTTGCAAGTGGTAAATAATAAATCATTTTCTTTGTCAGCTGCAGCAGATGCTGCTCTTTTAAGTTGTTTAGGCATTAGTACACAGAATGAGGACTCTAGGCTTCAAGAATTTAAATCACACCTATTGTATTTTATTATTTCCTATAGTTTTGTTGAAAAAGAGTTTTTTTGTTGTTTGTTTGTTTTTGTTTCTGGGGTTTTTTTGTGTTGGTTTTTTTTTTTTTTTTTTGCATCACTTGTTTTAATGACAATAGAGTCAAGAAAATGGGGGAGGGTAGGAGCTTCCAAGTGGTGGTATCATCTCTCCATCCCCAAACAAAGCAATCGTTTTCTCATAGTGATGATTAATTTTGAATTGCAGGAGTGAGAGTGAAAGCTAAGAATATCAGAGAGTTCTCTCCTTCTCCCCCACACAGTACAAACCAGGGTGTCCCATCTCTCATCCATAACCTTTCACTTCTCCCTCTTTCCTGTAGATCTGTTTGCATCTGTTTATATATTACTTATTTTCGGGAGATACCCTCTTCCTCCCCTTATGCTTTCAGCACGACAAATACACGTTTGCAAGAATTCAGATTTTCTACTGCTTCATTATTCACCCCCTGGCATTTTTTTTTTCTTTTTCTTCCTCTTTTCTGTCTTTCTAAGATAAGCTCTTTAAAGCGTTTGCGATAACATCTCCGACCTAGAGATTATTTTTCATTCGGCCTATTGTGAGCAGTCGCCGTTTTATTGCACTGCTGCAGAGCTCAGTTTGGGCTACAAACGTAACAAATGAACAACTTGTCCTCTGCGGACTCACCGCGGGATCCAATTAGTTCCTAAACCTTTTGCACAAGTTTTCTAATTATTTTCAAGAGTTGTGGCCTTTACAGGGTTCCCTAAACTCATCAAGACACCAATTCTTTCGAGGATTAAATGCTTCTTAAAATTACTAGCAGCGTTGCCCCCTCGAAACGAAGGGATAGATTCTCCGGGCAACACAGCTTTCTTAGGGACTCCCGCGTGAATTACTGGGCTTCAGCAGGCGCTGAGAGAAAAAGAGACGAGTTTTCAAAACTTTACATGTAAGTGCATCCATACAGGTTTGATTTGTTGATTTTTTTTTGTTTGTTTGTTTGGTTTGTAGGTTGTTTTTACCCCCAAAAACGTTTAAACATCGGTATGCAAGGCAGGGTGTCACGTGAGCCCGCGGCGCCCTGCCTCCCTGCCATGGACTGCGCCTTCACCTCACCCTGCCCGGCTCCTGCCCCCCCGCCCGGCCACGGGCCACAGCGGAGAGCCGGCTGCCAAAAAATACCGCTACTTGCACAATTCCTAAAGCCAAAGTGTCCGCAGCACCAAAAGTATATAAATACATACAGCCTAGGTACTTCCGGAAGAGCCCTCCTTTAAGATAAGGGTTATATATTATACACACACATATCATAGCTGGTTAAATTTGGTCAAACGATCATATTATAGCTGATATGTGTGTGTATATACGCACACATACACATCCTTCGCTAATATACCTCGAATCATCAGAGAGGAAATTAATTTATTTCAGTACAGTAAGTCTTTGAATGCATTTCAGAGATTGCAGGAAGAACACGTATACAATAATGCACCTTGGCCTTTTTCCCAACGTGTGCTTATATACTTAAATTGTATATGTATGCATGTATATTTGCATGCATATGCAATGCTAAGCATTTTCAGCCTAAGTCAGATTTTAGTAAAACATCCTACTAACAATTTTAAAGCAGACTTTATAAGAGTTCTGCCCCAAAATGGACATCAAAATAGTGGCCGTAGCGTTTAACTAAATACCTTGATCCTTTACATTTGAAAATACTGCAGTTAAAGACAGCATGGGAGGGGGCGGGGGGAGAAAGAAAGGAGCATGTGAAAAATGGTGGACTGTGCAATAAGCAGCACTCTGAGCTCACTGTAACTTTAAAGCCTCTGCCACATTAAGGTTAATAAAAGAGACAAAAAAACTATCAAGTATATATGAATTTAGCCTATTTTTTTATTTCTGTGTGTTCATAGTAAACATTTTTGTAAGTGACAAACACGGGCATATGACCACAGTATCACAATCAAGAAATTTTAAGACGACATTAACAATCACTCAAATTTATGCGGCTTTTGCGCAACACAGGTTACATATTTGCAAGGTTTACCTATAAGTACAATAGGTATTAACATTTCACTACATTTAGAAAAAAAATAAAGGTGACCTGTTAGTGACCACATACATCAAAATATACACAACACAAACTGAAGGCAATCATTAATTTTGTCCCCTTCTGATTCATTTGAACGGGCAGTGCTGAAAACTGAAATAATGTTGCTGTTTTTTAAATTACTTCGTACACTGAGTGCATTTTCTAAAACCCAATCTTTGGTCTAAAAGTAAACAAACAAACAAATGAACAAAAAAAGAAAAAAAAAAAGCAATTCGGTAAAGAAAATAATAAAATAATAAATGGCCAAAACTAGATCTTGGGCATTTTTCAGTATTAATTCTGCTTAAATACAAATTATGTTTTAAGGTTTTTTATATAGTTTTCATAAATTTAGTAGTTTGATTTGGTTTTTTTTTTTTCTTTCAAGGTCTGCACCCACCGACATATCCATGATAACTTATAATACTGCAAACATGGAGAATCGGGTGGCTTTTAGTGATAGACTTATCATATTTGAGTAAGAAAATTGCAAAAGCAGTCACTATTTAGATACACATTCTACTATAATTTTGTCTTCCAAACTTCATAGTCTACAATGCAATCTCCCCACATTGCACCTTGCTGACACTCCTCACCTTGGTGGAATAATAAACAACCCTAAAGACTGAACAAACGTACAGAAAATGGGGGACTTAATAAAAAATACCTGGACTTTTTTGTTTTGCTTTTTTTTTCCGTTTAATTATCATTTACAATGCAAATGTGTGTAAAATGTTCACTTACAGTCTGATCCCATGGATGTTAATGTATTAAAGGGTTTGAAGAAGACCCCTGATTTTGATGTGTGAAATAATCAGAAAGTCCTCCGGAAAGTCCCGTTGTAAAACTTGGCAAAGAAGGTCTTAAGGACTCACAGGGGAGAGTGGAGGGCGCCTGTGGCGACGTGGAGGAGGAGGCTGCCCTGGCCGTCATTGAAGTGCTGCTTTGAGAAGTCATTGAAGGGTGAGGAACATGGGGGAAAAAGTAACTCGTCTGTCCTGCTAGGAGATTTACAGAGCAGGGATTTAGGGAATAGGTGCCGGAGCAGGGAACTGACAAGCCACACGGCACTGAGGCGGCCAGAGCTGCTGCTGTGAGGTGATGAGTGGCATAAGGTATCTCTCCATTGACTAGTCTATCAACACTTAACCCATTAGACGTGGAAAAGGAGTGGTTGTTTCCCAAGGAGTTTTGAGTCAACACTGAGCTGTAGGGCATGGGGTGGCTGGGGTAGGCGGACGTGGTCCCATTGTAACTCAAAGTGCTGCTGGCCCGGGGGTGGTGCAGGGAGAGGAAGGGGGACATAGGCCAGTACAAAGATCCTGCCCTATCCATGAATGTCAGTCCGGTAGAGGTGAGCCGGGCGCCCCGCTTAAAGGCCAGCTTGGCCCGAGAGGTGGTGGAGCGCCGGCGGAGCTTGCCGGTGGTGCCCCCGATGAAGACGTCGTCGCTGGAGGGGTCCAGCATCCAGTAGTTCCCTTTGCCCGGGTCGTCGTAGTGGCGGGGCACCTTGACGAAGCACTTATTGAGCGAGAGGTTGTGCCGAATGGAGTTCTGCCAGCCCTGCTTGTTCTCCCGGTAGTATGGGAAGTTCTTCATGATGAACTCGTAGATGCCATTGAGCGTGAGGCGCTTCTCGGGGCTCTGCCGGATGGCCATCATGATGAGCGCGTTGTAGCTGAACGGCGGCTTCTCGTACTTGCCGTTCTTTTTCTCCCCCTCCTTCCCGCTCTCCCCGTCCTTGGCCCCCTCCGCCGCCCCCTTCTTCTCCTCGGCCGCTTTCTCCTTCTCCTCCAGCTCCGCTGCCGCCGCCGCCGCCGCGCCCGCTTCGCCTTTGCCCGCCAGCATGTCCGCCTTGGCCACCTCCAGGGCGCCGGAGGCGGTGGCGGTGGGGGGCGGCAGGAGGTGCTGCCCCTTCTCCTCGTCCTCCTCCTCGGCTGCGGCCGCTCGCTGGGGCTGCTGCGGCGGCGGGTGGTGGTGGTGGTGGTGGTGATGGTGGTGGTGATGGGGGTGGTGGCTGTTGTGGTGGCTGTGGCTGCTGTGGTTGTTGTCGCTCTGGACGGCTTCGGGCACCAGGCTGTTTATGCTAAAGGAGGATTTCGGCAGCATTTTCACTTCCTTCCTATCTCCCATGTCCAACATCACACACTAGTCTGAGGGGGAAAGTTGCGGCGGCTGAGGGAGCTGCGCGCGGGGCGGCGGCGGAGGCGGCGGCCGAAGCGGTGGCGGTGGCCGAGGCGGCGGCGGCACCACCGGCGGCGGTGGCGGCGGCGGCGGCAGCGCAGTTGGACCGCAGTCTCAAGCGCTGGCAAGTCATGTAGCACGGACAGGAACCGCCGGGGAGGGAAAAAATAATGGTAATAATAATCACCGATCAGAGAAAAATCAAACCGAGCCGGAGCGGACGAAAAAAAAAAAAAAAAAGGTAGAAAAGGAAAAAAACCTTCTGAAACCTAAAGAGAAAAAAAAAAAAAAAAAAAAAAAAGCAAAAAACAAAACACAAACCAACACAAAAAAAAAAAAAAAAAAAAAAAAAAAGCTACTTCATGGTGCCCGGTTCCCCCGGCACGGCAGCGCAGGGGGAGGCAGGAGGGAGCAGCAGCCGCCGCGGGCCGGCGCGGAGCGAGGCAGACGGGCGATACAGCCCGCCCCGGCCGCAATTAATTTCAGAGCTGCCGGCACGCACCGGGGCTGTAAAACATTTTTTGGTTTAACCTTTCCCACCGGCCGCCCAATCAGGGCCGGCGGCGTGCCCGCGCGTCTGCCCGCCCGCCGGCCAATGGCGGCGCGCCGCCCCGCCCCGCCCCGCCCCGCGCGCCCCGCCCCCGCCGCCGCCGCGGCTCCCGCGGCGCAGGGATACCGGCGCAGGGGCGCATCACCGCGCGGTGCGCGCGCGCCCCCCGCCCCGTGCCCCCCCGGCCGCCGCCGCCAGCACAAATCCCCCCCGGCCGCCCAACAACCCGCGCCCGTCCCGCGGCGGCGGGCCCGGCCCGGCCGCTCCCCCAGTTCCTCCGGCGGACTCGAGTTGCCACGAGCCGCTTTGCCCCTTCCTCTGGCGACGAAGGAGGCGGGGTGGGAGGCCGGGTGGGTGAAGCGGCCGTGGCACGTCGGTGCCGGCGGAGGTACTACTTCGCGGATTCCGCCCAAGTCGCTCGGCGAATTTATTTTCCCAGGCCCGGCTATTTCTGTTTGTTATTTTGCCGAGGCAGAAAACAAAACAATCGTCCGGAGGGGACGCGGGCGGCGGGACGGGCCCGGGACGCCGCTGCCCGCGGCCTGCCTGGGGAAGACGGGGTCTGCTCCGGGCCGCCCGGGCCGTGCCCGCCGCTCTCCGCACTGTGAGTTGGGAGGCTCGGGAGCGAGCGGCCCATCTCCTCCCCTGCTCTCGCCCCGTGTCACCGGCGGCCGGAGCCGGGCTTCGCGCTTCCCGCCCGCCGCCGCCCCTCAGCCCCGCGCCGCTGCCGCTCGGACCCGCTTCACCCGCGCGGCGCCGGGCTGCGGCCGCCGCCTCCTCGGCGCTGCCGGGCTGGCCGAGCCGGCGCGCACAGGCCGCGCACAGGCGTACAAAATAAATGTTGGTATTGGTAGCCCATGAAATCGACACTGCGGTTTCCTGCCGGCCCGGCCCGTGGGCCTGGCCACGGGGTCTGAGTTCCGCGGGGTTTAGTTTTGCTGGGAGAAGGGATAGGGCGGGCGGCAGCAGGCCGGGTTCTCCTGGGGAGGGAAAGGGTCTGGCACCGCCGCTTTCCACAAGTAGACGCGGTGATACAG